TATATATATATATATATATATATAAATAAAATCATTGTCACTCATAACAAACAGAACAAAACAGTTTGCACAATAACCTGTTTTTGCTGGTCCACAACTCTACTGTGGGTTTAAATAACCCATGCAGGAATTTGGGAAGTGAAATTTAATTTGAAGAGTTAAAAAAGTACCATACAAACAAGTTTGAAGCTTGATACTACTTAGCACATAACTGGTCATGAACATTATGAGTCATTGAAAAGACACTTTTGAGCCTTAACAGAGTAGTCATCAGCTAAAATGTTTTCAGCACATTCTAGTGCAGTCCTACCTTATTTCACATCAGAACAATGCTTCTAGAGAAAAAGTGCATATATTCATTGTTTAGCCTGCCAGGTACCAGGAACTGTTGCTGGAATCATTTGCAGGCAGGATATTGGAAAACTGTCATTGAAAACTGGCAAACAGAAGCCACAGACACCATCCCTGCCCATCCTTGTTAATAGACCTTGATGGACCTAACCATGAACTTATCTAGATTTTTTTCAATCCTGTTATAGTCCTGGCCTTCAAAACAACTTCTCACAGGAGTTCCACAGGTTGACTCTGTGTTATGTGAAGAAATATTTATTTTTATTTTAAACCTACTACTATTAATTTCATTTGGTGGTCCCTACTTCTTGTGTTATGAGGAGTAAACAGCACTTCCTTATCTACCTTCTCTACACCAGTAATGATTTTCTAGACCTCAGTCATAATCCCCTTAGACTTTTCCAAGCTAAAAAGCCCCAGGCTTATTAACCTCTCATTATAAGGTAGTCGTTCCATACCCCCAATAATTTTTGTTGTCCCTTTCTGAACTTTTTCCAATACTTTTGAGATGGGGCAACCACATCCACATGTAATAGTCAATGTGTGGGTATTCCTTGGATTTATATAGTAGCTATATAATATTTTGTCTTATTATCTATCTTTCAGGGTATGTCTACACTATACGGAAGATCAGACGCTGCCACAATCAATCTTACAGGGTTTGATTTAGTGGATCTAGTGAAGACCCTCTAAATTGAACTCAGAGGATGCCCCCTGTCAATGCTGTTACTCCTGTTCCTCATGAGAAGAAAGGGGAGCCTATATGAGCATTTGCTATCAAATTAAGATACTCTATTTAAGGTATGTCAACTCCAGCTATGTAATTAACATAGCTGGAGTTGTGTATCTTAATCTGACCTTTTGCTGTAGTGTAGACCAGGCCTTAATGATCCCCAACATTCTGTTTGCTTTTTTGACTGCCACTGCATATTGAGTGGATGTTTTCAGAGAAATATCCACCAGGACTCCACATATTTTTAATATAAAATGATATCTCATAAGGTGCATCGCAAACCTAAAAACTTTCTAGGTTTTCACCATAATTGGCTATTGTTAATATAAAACCAATCTGTATGGTTGTCTGCATGGCTCCTCATTTTAGACTTTGGGTATGTGAACTGTAGTACTCAAAGTGCTTTTCTGTAACAGTCGATCCTGAATGCTATTAACATGAACTAAATGGTATATTATTCATGTGAAGATAATTAAGTATTATTTGAAGAGGACCAACACAAACTAGGTACCTTTCACTTCATGCCAGCACTGTCCACATACAGGAACTGAAACACAGAACTTTAGTGCATGTAGTTCATGTTGTAGTTCACTCCCTCTCCACCCTTGCTCATCCTGCTCCAAGTCAGCACTTATGCAGTGTAGATGTAGCTTATGGTACTTAGATTAATAACATTTTTCTATCTGTACTTTTTATCTTCTGTTAAATTATTGATGACTTGGACATTTAAATTGGAAAACTGAACCCAGTGCACCTACATACATAAATGTTTGACCCTGCATCTTCAGATACTTCCAGTTGACAGCAGTGATGGTCATCTTCATTAGCAGAAAATGATTTGGCCACGTTAAATCCAGCTACCACCATGGTATCCTATTAAAAAATACAAAATTAAACCAATAACTGACATTGTTTTTATTCAACATGCTGTATCCCTATGTCAACTTCCAAAAAAACAACATATGTTTTGACAGTTCTGTAAAACATCAGGTTTCCTAGATGTGGTAATATGGCACACATAAAATCAGGAGTAACCCTGCAACAAGTATCGCCTTGTACTCACTAAAATTGATCTAAAAGTTTACGATCAATCTATGGAGGTGTAATGGCAGATAAATGTGAAATGATCCACATCATCCAAAACGATAGTGTGATTTGAACTAATATTCTGGCGTCAAAACATTTTCAGACTTTTAAACCCTGGCACCTCTCACTATAGACTAGGAATTACTGAGTGAAATTCTACGGGGCCTATATTAAAGAGAATGTCAAACAAGATTTCACAATAGTCCCTTTGCTAACTTATAAGTCTATCAGGTCTCTTGAAAAACATGTACTTTGTTTCAGATGTTGTTTGGAATCCCAAGTCTCATAACTTTTGTTTGTAAAACGAAACTACAACAATTCATAATATGAAGCATTGCATAATATGAAGTATAATATGATCTAAACCAACAACTTTTACTACTTCTGTTTATTTGAAAGAAATATAAGTCCATCTACAGTAGCAAAATCAAAAAAGCCATCTGGAAGGAAGGGGAACATTTTCTGTTCAAATATAATTCAAAATGCAAAATGCAAGAATATGCAAGCAGCACTTCATTCTGAAAAGAATTTGTAACTACAGTAACTACTGGACTGAGCAAAAAGAAAAGAATTAAGTGTTCTAGAGATTAACCTAGAGAATGGCACTAACAAGATACAAATATTCCATTTCTTTGAAATGTGCAAATCACATTTACAGGTCCTTTAACAATATAGGTAATTTGCAGTGGTATAATTTATACACAAAATTCCAAGCTGAATGAAATATATGTATGAATATTTTAAAGGTTCTTCCTTCAGTTTAAGGTTTTAAATCAGGAATACACATGAATACACACACACACACACACACACACACACACACACACACACTCAATCTCTCTCCCTGCTCTTTTCAAACAAAGCTGTTTGAGTTGCTCTGGCATAAAGCCAAAGGGAAGTTATTTTATGGAGAGTGCTTTTGCAAAGACACTCTGTTATGTTTTTCTTAAATAGCTTTTAAATGTCAATGATTTGAAAACTATACTAAACCCATAATGGAATATGCTTGCATGAAATGGTTCTATCTGAAAAAAAGAAAGAATGTTGTACCATTGGCCTGTTACAAAAGGAATAAAGAAAGTTATTAGTTATTGGGGGGGGGAGGGAGTGGGACAGAGAAGATTTATACACTTCCCGGTTGAGAACAAAAATGAATAAGTAGTTTTCATTCTCTGCACCCTTTAGCCTATTTTACATCTATGCAGCAACTATTTACATAAATTGAAGTGACATCCAATAGATGTGGCAAGCCAAAAACGTATGCGACACACATCTACTTTGGTCAGGATCTTACTTGAGGCAGGACATTTAGCATCAAAAACCAGAATTGAATAGTTTTAAATGGTTCACTATAGCATACTCTGCCATTAGTAGAGTTTAGCCAAATGTGAGAGTATAGAAATGGAAATGAATTACAGCATCATAAGGCAGAGAACAAAGGCGTTATAGAATGTTTACTACATAGTGATTATGATATATGGTTTAGACCCAACAAATCTTCCATCTAGGCAGGGGGCGAGATTTGATGACCCTTGCAGTCCCTTCTAATCCTCTGATTCTAAGTGACTGCTCACTGTAATTTATTATTACCTATACTATAGTGTCTAGAAATCTTAACCAAGACTGGGACCCCTTTGTGATAGACAATGTCCAGTCACAGTATTAAAAAGACCCTGAGTCAAAGAGAATACAGTCAACTGAACAAGGGAAACAGAGGAAGGGAAACATCAATTTCATTTTACAGATGGGGAACTGAGAACTGAGTCACAGAGTCACTTAAGCCCAGATTTAGGTTCTTCCACTAACAGCTGCAATGCTGCAAAGCCTAATTGAAAATCAAAGGTCCATAGTGCTCTTATTTCCTAAGTCTCATTTTCAAGGCTATAATGCTAGGCAAAGCAATGTTTATATACCTTTAAAAATCTGGGTCTAAATGATTTAACCAAGGTCACTCAGGGAATCTGTGGTAGAAAAATAGAAATTGACCCCAGACTTCCTCAGTGCCAATGCAGTATCTTAAAATACCTTCCTCAATCCAGTGTGTTTCAGCAGCATTAATAGAACATCTATTCATATTAGCAGAATCAGGACAAGCAATGTCTCAATTAGTTGTACCAACCACAGAGGAAAGTCAGCACTTTGTGAAACATACACAGATATGGTTTATGCCATAAGGAACTTTCAATTTACATTTTAGACAAGAAAGCAAATGAGGGCAAGAACAAAACATAGAAAACTGGGCATGTTTCACTTGATGGGATAGTGCTATGAATCTGAATGATGGGTAAATTTTACAAATACGCAAACTGATGCAGAAAGGAATTGAGTGTTACCCTTGGTCACAGCAAATCAGTGACAGAGTCGAAAACAGATGCTCAGTCTCTTGCTTTTACATGGCAGGATTTATGTATTTCAAAATATAAAAATGTACAGCCTCTCCTTTCCAGTTTCAATTCTATAATCAGTAACACCATTTCTTTTAATTAGTTAAATTATGAATGTGCATACATAAAGGCAGTCTGGCCAATTTAGCATCATTCTGATCTTCTGATATACAGTGACAAATTTAAGAACGTCTAATACACTGATGGAAAATTAATACAAAGTTGTGTTTAAAATGTGCCCTAGCTTATATACAAGGTAAACACTAAGGGTATGTCTATACTACCCCCCCTAGTTCGAACTGGGGG